CCCCCTCATATCTCTCTTTTCATTCTTTCTTAGACGAATCTGCGTATTAATAAGCCTCACTTTCAGGCGTCTGCCACACTGACGAACTAAACTACTTGTTCCCTATTTTCAACAATGCGTTTAAGGATTGGATGCTACACAATACGGAGAATGATAACGCTATGATTACCTTTATGACGGAGATATGGACGAATTTCGCAAGAGATGGGTAAATACGATTAACAACGAGAGCGCTCCGAAGCGAATATTTTTGCGGGGAAGAAACGCGATATCGGGATCTTAGTCGAAAGCACGAGTAATCGATACTTCCCTCCGCCTCTCTCTCTTTCTTTCGGAAAGTTTCTCTCAAAGTTTCTTTTCGAAGACGCGTCCCGCTTCTGCAGCGGTGTCGTCGCGTTGCGTCGTGCCGACCCGAGCGCGATCCACTTCCGGCCAAAGCCGATAAGACTCTTAAACTAATGAAACCATCAGGAAATTCCGGTCAACGCGACAGGCGCAGCCGCGGGGACGGTCTTGCCGATCGTAATGATCATGAAATATTTATAGGGTGCCGAGAGCGTGGACGATCCCCGCATGGCCCGATTACCGCGATCATCATCAGTTCATGAGATTCGGGCTTGACGGCTCGCCGGATATTGCGGTGCAAGCCGATTTCCTGCCCGCCAGAATGGAGTTCTGGGAGAAGTTGACGGCGAACGTATCGACGGAATGCGATGTGGAGCCCGACGTGTTCACTGACAACCCTGCAGACAATATGATAACCACGATCGGTGGTACGGCCCATCACAGATTAATGCTCGACGTCGCGTTGATCATCGCGCTCATTCACCGGCTTATTTAAAGAAAGTCAGGGAAATATACGTTATATATGCGCACTAGGCGCGCGATGTCAGCAAGCGTGTGTCGGGATACACACGTGTCGTCCACAACGTGTGTACTTAATTGATTTTTCCCAGTCGCGCGCGGAGCTCGAATAAAAATACTAACGCTCGTGCCCCGAAAACACTCCCACGGCGCAAATGTAAAAAGGGAGGAACGCGAGTAAACGTACGTGCAATATTCCGTGTAAATCGTAAAAATTAGTGTCTCACGCGGCTCCATCGAAAGAGCAGTGTGTTCAACGTGTTACTCGCGAAAACGTTCGGGCATGCACGCGCGGAGCGGATGATATATATGCGTGTGTATACATCGTGTACGTATCGTGGTGGATATAAAACACGTGCAAGCTCGATCGCGCCACTTGTGGCTCGAGACCATCGTACCTCGCGGTTCCTCTGCGCCCTTTTCCTCCCCGCGCAGGGAGCTAGTTTACTCGTCCCAGTAAAAAGTAACGACGACAGTAAATACGAGACGGAGCTGTCTCGTTTCCTATCCACCGCTTATCTCCTGCGCGGCGCGCGAAAGATCGATACGCCCGTTAAGGGGAGAACTCCATGTAATTGGTCGGAAAAATCGATTTTTTTTTTTCATTTAAATCGAATCCTTGTTATATGGAGAATATAAAGTTTTAAAAAAATTCGAAGCATTAATGGCACTACGGACATGTTTATACCTGCGCCGTGTGCAAGTATAAGAGCCGCCCGGCGCGTCTTGGCCGGACCCCTCCTGTTTCTCGACTTAATCCCTTTTGCACAATAGACTTTAATGTTTCTCAGTGGCCGAGAGGTGCTTGGGAGAGCATACACAGTATGCTAATGAGAGTCTAAATGCAATGATCTGACGATTAGCTCCCAAACACTTACATGGCACTTATTGGCACTAAAATAATAGAAATAGCTGCTTATATTGCTAGTAGCATTTAACGAGGGCTATTCTGCAGCGCTAAAAATGATGAATGTATCGGAATTTAAAATTGGCCAGCAATACAAAAATTACGTCGATTTATTGGACAGCAAGCGATTGAACAAGCTCATAGCACCACAAAGGAGGCTCGAATAGCTTATAAACAAAAAAAATTGCAGAAAACTAATTTTTCGAGGAAACGGAGGGCCTATTATATGGAGCTGGAATTAAAGAATAGTCGAAAAGAGCCATGAGTTTCCAAAAACTGTTTTTTTGTTTATTTATTTGTTTCGTTAATTTTAAACGTTTTTCTCAGAACTACTTTTTCAACTTACGTACATCAAAATTCAAAAACTATTCAACCAATTGCGTTGCACTTATGCGTGCATGTACATTATTACTTTTGTAATAGAATAAACCTATATGTAATTAATATTTATTTATTTAAACAACTTTTCTCAAACAATTAAGATGAAAATTTTCCGTAAAATTTTAACCTTTTCTTTCGAAGTCGTTTATTTTCACTAAATTTCTAATTTTTTTATAAATTTTTTTATAAATTTAGATTCATTCCTCGTGATTTTTATTAAAAAAAAAACAAATCTTTTAATATTTTGCTGCAGAATTAAAACTGAAATCGCTAGAATGTACGCAAGTTCACCTCATAAAAAACGAAACCTCTGATATCGACCTCTATTAACCATCAAAATATCCATTACTATTGCTCAAAGAAAATGTTTTCTAGTTCTTTGAGTATGCATTTAAATATACTAAAAATTTCAAAAAGATTCATCGAATAGCTTTTTTTTTAATTCCTAAAGACTGCCTATTTTTCGGCTTATTTACATGAAGTTCTCCCCTTAATAGCGCCGATAAAGTTTCCGAAGCTGAGAAGCTTCGTCTACTTACCCTGAGAGAGACACAGAATACTGGAATAAACAGAGTTTGCAGGTCCTATATCATTTCCCTTGCGCGCGCGCGCGCGCCTTTGTGTCTCATACATTAGAAATTAGATCTAATGTAATATATCCCTCTAAAGTACAATCGGTGTATTCTTCACTGAAATGCTATACTTACAACTGGCGTTTTAGTTATATGTATAACGCTGCAATCGGCAAAATTTCACTGAAAAGATCAATTAATTATTAGTGATTATTCCCATTACTATTGATACGCTTTGCGAACACAGGCAGTGTCATTGCACAAAAGACACGTAGAAGTCATTATTTCCATCGTAATCCAATCCAAAACGTTAGATTTAACAACATAAAACAAGTTTGTGTATTACATTGAGAGAGAGAAAATATCTAAAAAATAAAGAATATTTATTCAGACACTAATAAAATATATTTACTTATTTATATTAATATATGTATTTTTACATTGAGAAAAAATATTTTTCAAACAAGAAAAAAATATGCATTCTTTTAAGACCTTAACTTTCCATAAAAGCAAGTGTTTATTCTATTTAAATAGAAGAATTCAAGTTGTGTGATGTAAATATGTTTTTAGAATACTCATCGAATAAATATTTTATTTTTATTTTCTACACATTTGTTCTCTTAGTCTATACAGATTTTGCAGTGAAACCTTGCTTTCACTGATCAAGATCAGTGAGAAATAAACTGGAGCAGTAAAATGGGAGTGTTTTCACTGAAGATCAATGAATACTCCGTATGATATCATCCGTGAAATAGTTCTTTTATTGATTCAATTAGAAACCTTTTTATTAAATCGTTTTGTTCTAATGAGGAGGAATTTTTCTTAATGTGGGAGAAGACTTGTAACCGAATTGCTTGGTTTCGTCTACTTCATCCCTTTTGTCATAATGACGAATTGAATAAAAATCCCTTTTACATTTCCACCGATATATCCTTACTATTCTCTCAGTAGACAAGCGTAGAATCGTGATTCTGTCTAGAGAGAAGGGAGTAGGGGTGCCGACACGCCAGCACAGTCGCCCCTGAGAGCCATTCGCGTTTCTGTCCGCAATTACAGTCGAAATTAACCCTGTCAAAAATCCCCGACGGTGGTCGCCGCCGCGACCGCCGCATTAAAAGGAGCCTAATAAACGAAAGGCATAATGAAATTCGCTGGAAATTAAGTTCGCCACGCGGTGAGTTAACGCGTATATAAAATATGCAGCTTTCAGTTTTCCCGGGCTCCTGAGCGCACGAGAGCGCTCGGGGAAATTAATCATCCGCCCTAGGCAACCGCTGTTTGTCTTCTTTCCGTTTTCCATCCGTTTCCGGACGTATCGCGGAAGGAACTCGCCACTGTGTGCGACGGCGATGGCGGGAGAGCGAGATATCACGGGCGTCCTCTCGAGCAATGATTATGCAACGACGATGAAACGAAGACAAACACCGCGCCGTCGCCCTCGGAGAACTGCCGGCGACGCCATATCGCGGTGTCTGCTCTAAGGATGAAAAGTGCTAACAGCCATGTAAATCCGCGAGATCTCCGACTTCGCGCCCGCGCGGATTATTGTGCACCGGCTCTCGCCCTCCGCGCGAGATAAGTACAGCGTACCCCCGCGTCGTACGCCCGGATGCATCCCGCTCGTGTAACCTCGCGGTCCTCCGTCGTTATGAACACATCGTATAACGATTCCCTCTGTGCACCTGGCAATATGTCTGATGAGAAAAATGTGATAGACAAACGCGTACGTTCATATGGAACTCTCAAAAGCCAAGCTTTCGTAATTTTGTAAAACAGACTTAGAATTTAATAACGTGAATATTGAAAATAGAATTCTTGCCATCATACATATGTGACGCTAGGCTATAGTGAAAAGTCATTACGTCACATATATTGGTTAGCGAACGCTTAAAGTCGCGACTTCGACGTCAAGTCTCGGCCTGGTTTTAATACAGAACTGAGCGTGCCACCTGCTGTCGTGCCGGCACACTATGTTCCCACGCTATCCTTTTCTAGAAGCAAACGACCGCACGGTCGCAATGAGCCCATGGCCGCTGCAGCGATACTTGTCTGGCCCGTAAAGCGAATCGCGGGCGTATTCATCTAAGGGCGTATTCATACCTTGGCAGAAAAGCAGAAACCAACTAGAACTCCTGATCCTGATGATCAGACAGTAGTCAACAATTTCTGCTCTTTTACCAGCGCGAGTTCTGATTGGCTTCTGCCTTTCTGTTTTCCGCTTTTCTGCCAAGGTGTAAATTCTTTCTAAAGAAGAATTTATCTTGGCAAAAAAAGCAGAAAATAGAGAAATAGAAGACGTGCTAGCAGTCAGATGGTACTAGATAGTTGGCTTTTGTCTTTTTATTTTCTGCTTTTTTACAGAATCTTCTCTAATATGTAAATTCTCCCTCAAAATCATGAATTTCTTAAAATCTGCGGAATTCACCCTAATTTCTGAAAAGTTCTTACTGAAACTAGTGTTCCATCGTTATGTTTTAAAAATAATACACTGAAAAAAAAGTTTGGTAATACTTACCAAATGCGTTTTACCATACCATTTGGTAAATAGTAATCAATAATGGTAAATGTTACCAATGTTACTAATAATTACAAAATTATTAGTAACATTAACTTTTATATAGTAATATTTACCTCTTATATTCAGTTGATATATTACTAAATATAAGAATAAAAAATAAAATAGTAAATATAAAATAAATATAAAATAGTTGACTATTTTACTAAATGTAGTAATTATAACACAGGCTGGATAATTATTACCAGAAATTTTTCTCAGTGTATAAGTATATCGGTGGTGATAGATAGAGATAATAATATTATATAGAAACATATATGTATATATAACACGCATATATAGAAGACTAGTTTTATAAGTTAGGGAGAGTCCCGCAGTGACGAAGACGGTTTCCACCGGAACGGCATGTTGCGTGGACCGACGTCGCATTTGATAGATTTAGCTTAGATAGATGGATAAAGTGGCAGATCGATTGATTGATACAGCTCTGATGGATTGATAGATAGTAGATTTAGCGATTAAGCGTGTCACTGGCGATTCTGCTTATTAGGTTATTCAGCAACGAGCAACGATCGAGGTAGTTTAATTACCGCGAGATTACATTGTTTATTCCGCGCTCATCGTCCCGAGCACGAGCAGGTTGATTCGTAAGACGTCGCCCGAGGCGCGGAACTAATTAACCGCGGGACAAAGAACAGAACCATCGAGCGCGACCAGAGTCCTGGCGTTTTAAACTACATGTTAGCGAGCCTCATTTGAAGCAACACGCAAAGATAATATTGTTACGCCTCGGGACAGAAGACGGCGCGAAGCTGAAAGCTATCAAAGTCGCGATGTAGGAGTGTAAGGGCTCGTAACATCGGCTTTTACCGTCGACAGACGACGGCCCCATATGGATAATTAATTAAAAGACAGCGCGGCTGAATCGAATGAATTTCATTTGCACGCGGTATAAGGCATCGCCATCACTTGGCGCGGTGTACGTTTCTTCTTTCTTCTCGCGGAAGTCTGCTTTTAAATATAACAAATGCAAAATTTCCATTTTCTTGTGGTTCTGGTAAAAAAGTAATAGCATCAATACGCATTACTGTTGGTAGCATTATAGCAACACTTACTGGTCCACTTGCCTATAATTCCTTCATCGTGCAATTACAGTTACAAATATCAAACTGTTACAAATATACTGTTACAAATATACAGTGATAAATATCAAACTATACAATTACAAATATCAAACTGAGAGAAATCATCCGATAAAAAATTAACAAACGGATATTTCCAATCAAAATACAAATGAATTTTTATATTTGATCGGGAGATATCCAAAAAATATCGGTTTTTTTAACGGTTTATCTAGTGAAATGCCATTATGATTGGAAATATCCGATTAAATTTAATCGGATATCCTGATCGGATATGAAAATTGATCGGAATTTGATCAGAAATATCCGTTTGTTAATTTTTTATCAGATAATTTTTATCGATGTAGCCGTTACTTGAAACTTGTCTTTCACATGAAATAATGCAAATCTAAATTTCGAGTTGTTTCAATTTAATTACACACCGAGAGAAATTATTCGATATTTTTTTATATTCTATAAGAAATATTAGTTTATAATTTTTTGATCGATTCATCTAAAGAAATGCCATTATAATCGGAAGTATCCGATTAAATTTAATCGGATATCCTGATCGAATATAAAAATTGATCGGGATTTGATCAGAAATATCCGTTTGTTAATTTTGTATCAAATAATTTGTTTCAGTATATTTTTGTAGTGCTGACGAGAAAAGAATAGCATCAATATGCACGTGAAATTATTCTTGCTGGCTTTATAGCAACACTTACTGGAAAAATGGTCTTGACTATAATTCGCTCGAGCCTCGCTCGTGCAAAATGATTTGCACCGTCGGCTCACGAAACGGCCCGAGAGTTACCCCGTACAGGAAATAAGATTTCGCTGCACTTGATAGACCACTTGAGAGGTAGCGTTCTTTCTAAATTCGAAACTGAGTCGATTAATCCATTTTCCCCGATGCTAATGGATGGAGTTCCCCGCCGGCGGCGAGCACGCGACTGCACGAGGCCGCATGCCGTTTCGTGGCTGTGGAATCGAATTCGCAAGATGCCTCGCGCACTAATGCGATATTCGAAATCCACGCGGATCCGTCGCGCGAAATGGAGAAAAGGGGTGAGAGAGGGAGGGAACCCTCGCGCAAAACATCGCGTTCACTTGAAACACGAGCCGCGCGCCGAGCGCGCCGCGTGTCGATACGTCGATGAGTAAGAATTCACATCGTTCCATCGTCTTTCCCCATTTTGTTGTTCGCCCATTTCTCTTGTTTGTTTTTCCTGCGCTCGCATAAATAATTATTTCGCGAGATAACACACACACACACTATTCCGTCCGTCCCTTTCTCTCTCTTTCTCCCTCGCTCTTGTTTTTTTCATGAGTGCCGAAACACGCTCGGCACTTGACCTGTTTGCCCATACCAAATGGAGGCGGAGGCGGAGGAGGTGGGTGAGGGGAATGAGGAGGAAGAGGGAACACTTTTCACAACCGGAACAGAACGAAAATGCTGTTATCTCAAACTCGCATTATCTCCCGGGACTTTTCTCGACCCGCGTGCGCGTTCATATACAAACACGCACACACAAAAATACACACACCAGCGCCGAGCTTAAATTGTAATTTCAGCCTTTGTCGCGGTATCCGGACACAATACTTGGAGAAACGCAGAGCGGCCGCGAGCACATTTCCAGTCTGTTTTCGCGCTCCCAGTCACGTGCGTATGAAAAACGCGCTTTGACATGAAAAACGCACTTCCGTTTGAACTAAAGAGCGTAGTGCGAGCGAACAGCGGAGAAAGAGAGAG